AGAGAGAGAGAGAGAGAGAGAGAGAGAGTTTTCTTCTTGCAGCAGGATCTCTCGGAGCGGTGCATTGGGAGGCAATCATCGAAAAAGAAATTGGCGGAAAGGTCGATGAAACGCGGAGGCCATCTTTTTATCTGGGTCACGCGAACAAGACGGCAGCCAATTAAATAACTGTACAACTTGTGCCGCTACGTTCATCCTTGGCACGCGAGCTTGTATCAAGCTCGTCCTCTCATGTCGCTCTCGCGTTCTTTCGTCCGCGGGAACGACGATACCGTTAGGTTAAAACCACGGCCACGAATTCAATCATTCACGTATTGTCGGCGATGACCACCGAAACCCGAGACCAAGGCTCGATTAACTTGAAGAGCGGGGAATTCCTCGAGACACCTGTACGATACCTAGGAAATCTGGGGATAAACGCTGACAAATCGGTCGACGTTGCTGGTGTGATTAATCGGTACCGAGGTCCCGTATCGTATTGGATCGTGAACAGGAACGTTTAATCCGCCGTGATTTACAGCGACGAGCGTAGTTGAATCAACAGACATGCCGCGAAAAATTGATTGACGTTTTAAATTGTTAGGACCTCGTTAAAGAAAAGAAATTTCATGATCTATTTCATCTTATTTCAAAGCTGTCCTGACTTCGTTCTTTCTTTTTTTTTCTTTCTTTCAAAGTCTTTGCGTCATGCAGCGGGGTGAAAAATTTTCTGTATGACTCCTCTTTCACAACGAGGAATTACTCTGAATACGTAAAAACTGTTTTTCACCATTCTATTAAACTTTGAACATTAGTGTCAAAATTCGTCGTCTGAATTCTAGTTCAATGAAGTGATAAAAAGATCGTACATTTTTTATTGATATAATTCGGAAATATTCTGTTATTAACATTGGAATTAGAATTAATATCGATACTACTTTTATTAATAAATAAACTACGAATTTTCGTGCGTTTATAAGAAATTCAAAGGTGTGAAAAGAGCAAAGAGCTTGAAGGATACAAGAAAACACTTATTCATTCAGAGCCACTGTATATCATATTTGGCATCGTCTCGATAGAATACCGATCGATTACGATTTCTTATCAATTTGATTCACGTATCAAGATGTGTTCAGCATTTTACGGAAGAAGCTGCTTCTCGTTTGAAGAAGAACGTGACACGAGAGCAAACTCACGGCACAAGCGTTAATAGTACTTTCATTGTGTGCACGTGCTTATTTTCAGGGTAGCTTGATAATTGTATATAGACTCTTCTTGTTGCGCCCGGGATGTGTTTCGTTTATGACGTTTTGTCGCACGGGCAGAGAAAATCCTTCGGGTATACGTCGCACCGTACAAACTTCATTCAGTTCCACAGTGATTCGCGAAAGTATTTGACCGCTATAAAACTCTTTTACGATTATACGATACGTGCTGTGCAAAGTGTTTTGAAATTTCATTTGCACTGCGAAAAGAGATTGCACGACTCAACGAGGATTATGTTTGTCAAGTTTGAAACAAGATTCAAGAGCGACGCGGATCTTTTTGAATGATTCAGCAGTTGCCTTGCTCGAATGGTAGATCGGATCTCTACTTGGTACAGCGGGAAAGTTCATCTTTTTTATGTGTTTTATGTAATTAAAATGGGGAAATGAAAAAGGAAAGTCGATTTCGAAAATAGGAAATTGGGAAGAGAAATATTTTTTTCACACAATGGAGCTTTATTAAAATTTTCACAAAGGAAATACTGTAACTTTTTCACCAACAGGCATCATGTAAACAAAAATTTCATGAAAAGATTCTTTTGTTGCATAATAATTTATAATTAACTTTTCAATTCGTGATTATCGATTCTTCTCGATAATTGATATTTTTTGAGTTGAAACTTAGAATTTCATATTAAATCTTTCTCCAATTCATCTTCATAAGTTTCTTAAAAAGATTTTCATAGTTTTGCACGAACAATGTTATTATTAGACTGCAGATTTTTGTGCTGAAGAATGATAAATGTCTATGACTATAAATATTTGTGAAAAGCTTAAAGATATAGTAACGCAGAAAATGCAAACAATATGTAGAAATATTGAAAATAATACATGTGATAATATTAATCATAATATACACAATACTAACAGTAATATCACACATATCATATTAATACTACTTACGGTAACGTCACAGTTACAATACTTAATAATTTCTTTAATTGCGTAAAAATATTAGCTCTCAAAATAAAATCATTGAGTCTTAAATGACTATAATAATTTACGTTATGATTCCTAATATTTAGCATTAGTTACTAAATAATTCAACTTGCTTTAGTTACTAGTACTAAGTTACTATCTAATTTTAAATTTTTGTGGTTTCTGGTGCCTCGGTGATTCTAGTTACAGTGTTAAATTGCGCAAATGTTACATAAATCTGCTAAAAAAAAATGTCAGTCGTCGTTATATCATCGTTTATTAA